CACCTGCTATACATGTGACAGTGAAATATTGTATTATTAGCATTTTATCGTTCTCTTACCTCAGGGGGAATACGCATGGGTGTGTTTAGTTAGAACCAGAAATTGATAAATAACATGAATTAACCATAGAAACGTAGAATAAACCAGGTTGGAAAAGACCTCCAAGATCATCAAGTCAAGATCAGCCCATTCCAATGCTTCATCACTCTCTCTGTAAAAAATATATTCCTAATATCCAACCTAAACCTCCCCTGGCAGAGCTTGAGTCTGTGCCCTCCTGTCCTACTGCTGGTTGCCTGGGAGAAGAGACCAACCCCCACCTGACTCCAACCTCCTGTCAGGGAGTTGTAGAGGGTGAGAAGGTCTCCCCTGAGCCTCCTCTTCTCCAGGCTGAACACCCCCAGCTCCCTCAGCCTCTCCTCATGGCACTTGTGTTCGAGTCCCTTCACCAGCCTCATTGCTCTTCTCTGGACCTGCCTCAGCACTTCAGTAGCCCTCCTGAACTGAGGGGCCCAGAACTGAGCACAAGATTCAAGGTGTGGCCTCACCAGTGCTGAGTCCAGGGGCAGAATCACCTCCCTGGTCCTGCTGACCACGCTGTTTCTGATCCAGGCCAGGATGCCATTGGCCTTCTTGGCCACCTGGGCACACTGCTGGCTCATGTTCAGCTTTCTCTCTATCCAAACTCCCAGGTCCCTTTCTGCCTGGCTGCTCTCTCCAGCCACTCTGTCCCCAACCTGGAGCTCTGGGTGGGATTGTTATGACCAAAATAAAGGACCAGCACTTGGCCTTGTTAAACCTCATCCCATGGGAATCAGCCCATCTCTCCAGCCTATCCAGGTCCCTCTGCAGAGCATGATGATTCACAGGATATTTTGTAAAATGCTGTGTTCTTGCATGGGAAAAAATAACTGCAAATTAATTGCTTTAAAATATCAAATGAAGACTTTAGTCTGTATTGTTCAGAGTGTTTTGGTGTGTTCACAGTGCATATTCCTACATTGCAGTGAGATGTCAGTGGCTGTCGATGAGGAGCCAGAGGTCTTGATTTTACCATCTCAGCAGTTGTCAGTGAGGCCCTCTGAGTCCCTCCCTGACAATCTCCAGGTTCCATCCCCTGCACCTACAGTTAGTTCTGGGCTGTCCACGGAGGAAAGCAGCTTCACCCTCACAGAGACAGAGACTGCGGACAGAGCCATCTCAGAAGGGGAGGTGCTGTTCAGCTGTGGACAGGTGGCTGCAGGAGGTAACTAACTAGGCACATCTGTGGAAATTGGAATTTGATTATGTGTTTAATTATCTTTCTAAGCTCCTCTTCTGGTCTATTGAAGGTATATTTCATCCACTTTCTGATAAAACTCTAAGCATTAACCTCGTCCTTAACTTTCAGTTCATGAGCTTGGATTGAAGACACGTCGTTGCTCTTTTTATTGTCTCTGAACAAAATGCTTCTGCTTATTAGTGAAAAAAAGATTCAGTCTGCTCTTTTGTCATGAGATCAACTTGGAAAATAATTGTGACTTGTCTTGCTCAAGTACCATGTGGTACTAAGTTTGTATTGAAAGCAAAGTGTAAGAAATATGAAAATATGTCTTTATAATGCAGATCCAACAGTAGGATTTTCCAATTTTTCTAAAGCACAGTGCTGTAATTATTAAAGAATGTGGCCTTGTTTTTTTTTTCTCATATAGAAACATTCATGTTTTGTATTAGTTGTAACATAAAATATTTTTCATCCTTAGCAGGAGGATTAGCTGTTCCAAACCTTGCTGAGAGCTTATCCAGTACTTTACGAGATGCCAATGAAATGGTAAGGAAATGTTTCATAAGGAAACAGAGTTAATGTGGATTCCACCTTGGGCATCTTGATAAATTGGATGTGCTTTAAACATTTCCACTTAGCAACCTTTTAAATTTGTGCTTTTAAGCTGTACACTCACAAAGAATGTTAGAATTTCAGAGCACCCAAGGAAAAAGCACATTATACACATTAGTTTATAGTTAGAGACAGTTGGATGATTTATAATCTTCTGTAGGTGAGAGAGAGCTAATACACATTTTCATTTCTTTTATTGTTTTCAGTTTTAGGACATCTTAAACAGAATAGAACATTGTTGTGCTCTGAGCTGTTTCAGCTTGGAGCCATCTTTTAATTGCTTGTGTGATTCAATTATTAAAGTAGGTTAGCTGAGGCTGGAGTTAGTTAAAGCTGCTTAAAACATCAGTATAGTTTCTTATCTGACATCTGCTTTAGTTCCTTGTCCTGGAAGCATCCCAAGCCACGGTATTCTCCATTCCCTTTCTCTTTTAACACTTTTCTTGAAATGCCCTGGACTTTCCCTCTCTGACACTTCATGTAATGCTTCTTGGTAGGACATTGGTGTCATATAAATGATAGTGTCAGAGTAAACTGAACTGTTTTCTCTAGGAAAGAACAAAAACATTAATAGTGGACTTGTAATGGTCTTGGTTGGAAGGGGACTCCAGAGGGATTTCTAAAACTTCCTGGACTGCCTCCACAATGAGCTATATGGCTCTTCTGGAAGATGTCCAGATAGTTGAAATCTGCCATGAGGATGAAGACCTGCAATCTTTAGGCTCCTGTTAATGTTTCCTGGCCACAAATCCCAGGTTCCTTTCCTCTCTGATCCTGACTCAGACCTTCAATAGGCACATGGAGGTCAGTGAATTCAAGGAATGATTTGTCCTGGAACTGAAAATTGGCTAAGCTGTTGGGCTGGACAGGTTGTGGTCAGTGGCACAGAGTCCAGCTGGAGGGAATCACCACTGCTGTGTGCCAGGAGTCAATCCTAGCACCAGTGGTGCTTAGCACGTTCAGGAAAGACTTAGACTGTGGGACAAACTGCATCATCAGCAAGTCTGCAGATGATACAAAGCTGGTTGATACACCAGAAGGTTGTGCCACTATTCAGGGGGACCTCACTGGGGTAGGGAAATGGGCTGACAGGAATCTCATCATGATCAACAAGGAGAAATGCCATGTCCTGCACCCGAGGAGGAGCAGCTTCATTCACCAGTACTTGCTGGGGCTGGCTGGCTGGAAAGCAGCTTTATAGAAAAAATCTGGGGATCCTGGTGGACAAGCTGAACATGGCTCAGCTGTGTGCTTTTGTGGCAAAGAAGGCCATCATCATCCTTTGCTGCACTGGGAAGAGCATTGCCAACAGATCAAGGGAGGTGGTCCTTCCTTGTTCCTCAGTACTGGTGAGACAGCATTTGGAGTATTGTGTCCAATTATGGGCTCTCCAGTACGAGAAAGTGAGGGATTTACTGGAGTGAGTCCAAGAAAGGACTGCAAAAATGATTAAGGGATTGGTGCATCTGTCATACTGAGAGAGCTTGGATGGTTCAGCCTGGAGAAGAGAAAGCTCTGGGGACATCTTACCAATGTGTATAAGTTCCTCGTGAAAAGAAGTAAGGAAGACAGACTCTTCTGATTGGTGCCCAGTGAAAGACAGGAGATAGTGGACACAGGTTGAAATTCAGGAAAGGAGAGAATGGACGTGGCACTCGGTTGACATGCTGGTGTTAGGTCATAGGTTGAATTGGATGATCTCAGAGGTCTTTTCCAACCTCATTGATTCTGTGACATTCCTTTTAAACATAAAAACTGTTTTTACTTTGGGGGTGGCCGAACGCTGGAAGGAGTGTTGCCTTGAGCAGTTGGGTTGGGCTAGAAAATCTGCAGAGGTCCGTTCCAAGCTTCAACCTCATTGATGACATTCCTTTTAAACATAAAAACTGTTTTTACTTTGGGGGTGGCCGAACGCTGGAAGGAGTGTTGCCTTGAGCAGTTGGGTTGGGCTAGAAAATCTGCAGAGGTCCGTTCCAAGCTTCATAAGGCAAGTTTAAATGTTCTAGAGTAGGAGCCCACTTCTCCCTGCCTCTCCTTCCTAAAATTTCTACACATGCATGGGCATACTTCACCCGTACATAATTCTCATCTCGTATCCATGATTTCATTTATGTCATAGAATCAGAGAATACCCTGAGTTGGAAGGGGCCCACAAGAATCATCAAGTCCAAGTCCTGGCACTGGACAGAACAACCCCAAAACCACCACCACAGTTGTGAGAATGTGCCCTGAACTGGCACACCTTTAAATGCCTCCTGTCTGCCACACTTCCTCTTTTAAACTCTGGGCTTAAGACTCTGATAGCAGGTGAACTTAAAGGAAAGTTCTCTTCATCAGATGCTGAGATGTTCTTCCCTCTCTTTGTCAGCTGGATAGTAGCTCCTTCCAATAGTCCTTAATCCTCAAACTAGGCTGTTTGGGTGAGGAAGGTAATTCCTTGCTGGTGAGAGCAGCTCTGCAGTGAGATCATTGCTAGCAGCAAGTGTATGTGAAGACTTAACTGTTTTCTTGATCTTTGGAGGCCTAAAGGACCTTGTTCTTATCTCACTGTTGCAGTTTTGTGTATCGAATAAAGGCTGTGCATGTGTGTGGGTGAAAGGAGAAAGCAGTGTGTCATCTGTGTGCTTATTTTTAAATGCCTGGATTTCCATGACACAATTTTTCAGTGTGGGAACTGTAACAAGTTCTTAAAAAAGAAAAAGCTTAGTTGTGAACTAAACTAAGAATGATTCAAGTTTCTTCAAAAAAGTAGTTTTGGATCATATATTATATGGATTTTGTTTCTTTGTTTTAGGATTATGATCCTCCAAGTGAAGGGCAAGTGATCAGAAGACTGGATAAATGCTTTCACAGGGATCCTGTCCTGACTCTTTTAGCCAAGTTAAACCAAGCACCTGTTCCTGCACAAGAAGGAATACACCACTTGGAGGTAACTCACAGTTCTGTCATTTCCAGTACCGTAGTTTTAAAGTGGTACTTTCCTACTCAAAAGTAGATAAAATATTTCAAGCTCATCCTTCCTGTTGGTTGTAGAAGAGGTTTATACACTTCATTCCCTGCAGAAAGTGATCTCACTTGTGTTGGCTTTGTTCTTGTGTAAAACTTCTTAAAACCACTGAAGGCTAAGTGTTGTTATAAACAAGCTGTAAATAACATCACACATAGCTAATTTTCAAGGTATGTCTGTGACTGTTCCATGTACCAGATATGTCCTGTCACTGAGTACCAGGGAATGTTCTGTCACTTCAGCAATGTGGGTGGAATGTTGCACAGTACAAGGACGCTGCACTTAACAGCCACAGGAGTGTTTTAGGGAGGCATGAGGAACAACTCAGCAAATGTTTACATTCACTTTGCACATGCTGTCAATATTGATCTGGGAACAAACCCTCAAAATATTCATATTCAGTTGGCATTAAAAACAGTCCAACAGAAAAATAAAACTATCTGCATCACAAATTTTTTTGTCACACATCTCAGTCTTTTCTATGTGCAAAGTAGTTAGGACTTGGAGTCTCTTCTAACTGACATAGCTGCAGGAATGTGTGAAGGAAGTGAACTTTGAGTGCTGCAGTATGGTTCATGAACACCTTTATTTACAGCAGATCTTGCTTTTTGTGATTCTACTGATGCATGTGCAGTTTCTTCCCTCTGTCTTGGTCAGTTTAGTCTAAATAATTACTAACTTCACTCAGTTCCTTAACTGTTCCTTTGTCTTTCTTTACTTTGCTAATGAGCTCCAGTGGATGGACTTAGTGAAAAGCTTTCCACAGTGTCAGCTCTGAGTCTGTCTGTAATTGCAGTGACATTTTCTCATCAGCACTGCCAATTACCAATGCATCTCTAATTTGCTTTTTTCCTTTCCCATAGTGACAATCTGCTCAGTCTGTCCATAAAAGACACTAATAACCTCCCCCCAGATTCTGTCAAGGTGTGTGCAGATATACCTCCTCCTTCATCAGAGAAACAGTGTTCTCCTAGATGTTACTTGTATTGCCTTAGTATCATACTGTGCACATGTGTATTCAACCTGTTTTCCTGCATGGAAGCAATTTGTTTTTTCCCCTGCAGCTTTGAGAATCAGAATCCGGAGAACAATCCCTACTCTAAGTGTCCTCCAAGTCTAGGGAAAAATTGAACCTCTGATCTGACATGCAGCATAACAGAGAGTCAGTAGCTTTTAGCTGCTGCCAATATTTCAAGGTCAGGCAGTCAGCAAGGGCCAAATCTATAACATTAGAGGCTTCATGTGCTAAAATTATAAGTTAGATTCTGATCAGGTTGGGATACTGCTGACTAAATAAGTGATGTTGTTTGACTGCAAGTGATTCTTTTCTGTCTAGTGTTGATAAATGCAGATCTTAATTTCAAACTCAGGTGCTATCTCCTCAGTTTCAGTTTTCTTTCTTCAATGCAAATAGTATAGACTGAAGTGTGTATATGTTTTAAGGGTCAATGTGATCAGAAAATGATGTCTGGGTTTGGGAGAAATACATTGGGTTTTTTATCCCTCCTGTTCTGATGTTGGTGTTCTTTGTAGGATTCTGATGACAGCATTGGGCAAATCAGTGAAGGTCAAAGACCAAGGCTGAACAGAGTAGAAGAGAGAATCCTAATGGGGCATTCTCTTTATCTGGAGCATCCAGCTGCCCAGACCTCCAGGAACAGACCCCTCCAGGGCTTCCGTTCTGCATCTCCAGGGCAGCTTGCCCAAATTGGAGGTACAATCACTCTGTTTCTTCTCTGTGATATTTATGTGGATACTGAGGAATTTCTATAACAGAATTTCAATGCATATGTTCAAAATCCAAAATCTCCAGGTACTTCCTACAGTGAAATGGTTAGCGTTGTTATTCTGAGAACTGGATTTAATTCCAGCATTGTCTTTACTCTTCTTTGTCTCCAATTTTCTACAATTTGAACAAAAATCATGGCAAGTACCCACTTACCTATACAAAAGTTGACACATAAAGTATGTGTTTTATTCTTTCAAGTCAAATTCCGTTCTGAGAAACACTTAGCCTGATCATTCTTGAAGGCTGTTGCCATGGGACAGGTATTGCCACCAGCAGTTCCAGCTTCTTCTCTGTGCCCCTCACACAGCACCTCCTCCTCTTTGCTTTTCTCCCTCTGTCATGGTGATATGCAGTGTCTCATAAATGGCAGTATATTTTAGCTTCATGTATTCCTATAACGATATGGAAATTAATTTTTCCCAGATGGATAGCTGAGGCACGCAGAGTGGCTTGTAAAAAGCAGTGCAGGGACAAGTTGCTGTGGTGCAGCAGGAAATTAATTTATTTCTTTTCAGTTGGAACTAAGGCTGTGAGTAATGGTCCATCCTTCCTCTCCCTTATTTTTCATCCCAGGTTTTTTATTGTTTTCTGAAAATGTACATCTCTGCTTGCTTAACTGAACTGCTGCAAGCGTGTAGGAACTCTTAGTTTTGTTGACTGTGGTTTTAAATGTGTTTAAACTGAACTGAAGTAGTGACTAAGCTGTTGCAACACCAACGTTGTTGCACTGATTCATCAAAAATTGTGTAAATTAAAGTGATCAAACAGCTGGTTTCCTGTCCTTTTAATTTTCACTTTTCTGCATTTGACAAGGGAAACATATCTCACATTATTAACCCTTGACCAGC